CAGTGCAACTCATACATCTACAACTAGTACCTTCAGCAGCGCAACTCATACATCTACAACTAGTACCTTCAGCAGCGCAACTCATACATCTACAACTAGTACCTTCAGCAGCGCAACTCATACATCTGCAACTAGTATCTTCAGCAGCGCAACTCATACATCTACAACTAGTATCTTCAGCAGCGCAACTCATACATCTACCATTCACTCGATTGAAACGACTGGAACAACAATGGATACATGTTTAATCATGGATTCAACAATTACTGCCGTTTCACATCCAGGACCAACTTCTTACGAGGCCGAATCACCAACTAATCTGATTACGAATGACACCGAACTACAAAATTGTTCAGATTGTTCTGGTGGATTCAAAATCGGTTTTATAGGCTTTGAAGAGGAACTAACATTTGAAAACATCAATGGTGATACAGGTGGAACGTTTCCACTCACCATTTATTTTGCAACAGGAGAGGATCGAGTGGGCGATATTAGTATAAATAATGGTGCACCAATCGTCATCAATTACTATAATACGTCAAGCTTTGTACACGTAAACTCAACAACAGTTTCTGTAGTGTTATGTGCAGGATCCAAGAATACAATTAAATTCTATAATCCAACAAATTATACAGCAGATATCGATCGGATTGTTGTTTAATTATTTGATTTTACAATCGGAAAAGGAAAGCTGAGATCTGCCAGATAAACGATAAGAAAAATCTGACTTATTGTTTGTTTGTTTTTTCATATCAATTTTTGGGATGTTGAAGCACTGCCTAGTTCCCGCAGAAGGTAATGTCACTAAAAATTTATTGTATTACCTTTCCATTCTACAGTCTTTGTTTAAAAAAACTTTTTGAATGTGTATCATGTTTATATAAGTCAATATCGGCCAGATAAAGTTGTGGTTTTCTATTCATTGTGGAATACGTTAAAATTTTACTCCTGACTAAGCCGCGAATGAGAGTTAAAATTCATGAAATGCTGTAAATTAACGGATTTTTGTAACTATTCTCAAATTATATATTTTTTATTCATTTTATGTTTTTAACCATTAACGTTTTTAATAAAATATATATCTGACCAATCTAATTTAAGGGGGTTCCCTCCCCATTTAGATTTTATTCATACCTTTTGAGTTTTCCAAAAAACCTTGGTTTTTGCATGTAAAATGTCTATGTTTTTCAGCCTAAGATCGTTTGTGGCAAACACTAATGGCATATTCAGAATCAGCTCGCCAAACTGGCTCGAACCATGTATAATACAATGAGTTTCGAATCGAAAAACTATCTGTTGAAATTTTCTCATGAACCTACAAAAGTGATTTTCCAAAGCAATGATTTTTTCTGAAAACGTTTATTTTTCAAGATCAAATTCCAGTCACACGTCGAACTTTGTAGATAAAGATTATGGCATGGTGAGGGTGCCAGATGGTCGAGAAAGACTAAAAAACTGATTGCACCATGTTATCGAAGAAAAGTCCGAGTAAAACATGGTGTAATCAAGTCCGAAAAACGAAGCGAGAGCTATTTACAAAGCGGAAAATCGATAATGCATGACTTTCTTAAGGTATGCACAGGACTTTCTTGAAGTATGTACATGAGTTTCTTAGGGTATGTACATTGTTTTAGATATTTTTCCCCTCATGCGCATACTTCAAGCAACTCAAGCACATACCTCAAGCGTTTTGCATGAGTAAGAAATTCATGTGCATGGAGACAAATCTTGAGGTATATGTGCTTGAGAAGAAAAGCTTCACTAGGGTACTTTCACCTTAAATTTAAAACATATCAACGTTAAAAAAAAATTAAGTTCTTTTCGAGTCGCTGAAAAAAGCTTTTACGTATTCAGCACACTCAATAACCTTGAAGATTTTCTATTGTTGACAAGAGGTACTACCAAGCACTTTTCAGCGACTCTAAATGAACTTTATTTTTCTGTCGGTGATATGAATTCATAAATCGTACAACAACGTTTCAAAACTAGGAAACTCCATGCTCAATTATAATTGCATAATATGCTTAGTCAATGGTGAGACAGAAAATTTTTTCGAACGTTTTTTTAAGACTCAAAATTGTAAAAATATCTTTTTCGCATGTAAAACTATCACATAGTTTTTGGTCTTCAAACTTTTTTGAGCGGTGTATGAGTCTTTTAAATGTAACGTGGAAGTAGTTTAGGCTAAAAGTACAAGTTTTCATAAAAGGCCAGGTGTTTTTCGTTAAGTTTTTGCACTATTTTTCAAGCAGCAAACATGGTCAGGAGACTCTAACTGGTTAATTACATATGCTTCTACAAGTGATCGAATCCCTGAGACCCCTAAGTAATACTGTGATGCACTTCTATAAACCTCTGACTATAATCTACTTCGCAGGACCTAACAGTTCTCTTTCGACATACAATCTGTGATAAATACTTTTAAGTTTGAAGTCAAGATCGATAGATAGCGCTTTTCACCGTTACTAGAATTGGGAGTTTTATGCTGGGCAAAAATGTTTTTATTAACCAATCAAAAATACGAAAACTGATCGGTGAAGACATCAAACTTTTACCGTAACTGCTTTTTTGTTTGAAGACAAAAACCAAGTTGTATAACTTATGCGACGATCGAACATACAATAGTTTTAACAACAAAACATAGATTTATGTTAAAATGAAAGTTTCTAGTTGGAGCAAGAGAGAGCAAACATATATTGTCACTTAAAGAATGTTATTCATGTTTTGCTTTGCAATTTTTTTCGCTTTGGATCTTTAACTTATTAGATTGTCGGCCAGACTTTATTTTTCTCTAGCCGCTGTCCGCAGAAAATTTCGCTTTTGTCTTATAACTGTTTGTTAAAATTTAAGTTTACTATCCTAGTCAAAAGCAATCTTCCCGTTGGTTGTTCTCTTATTTGCGTGATTATCATACTGTTCGTAACATTTCTTCAACTGTGTATCACTTACTTTTGTAGAAAATCTAGAGTAAACGTACACAAAATATGGATTACGGCGATATAGAAGAAGATACACTGTACGTATAGAAACTCTTTGAAACAACAGTTTTAGATTTAAAGGAATGTTTTCTCTAGGGGTATGATAGTCACATCTGGCACATGTACGTTGAAAAAAGATCCACAAAATTTAGTGGGGATTAGTATTGGTGGAGGTGCCCCACTATGCCCGTGTGTGTACATTGTTCAAGTATTCGACAATACATCAGCATCACGTGATGGACTTTTAGCTGCCGGTAATCTTACCAAACTTCTTTTGATAAATCCAAAATTTTATTTGCTTTATTTCTTTCAAAGGAGACGAAATTGTATCTGTTAATAGTAAATCTGTTAAAGGTCGAACAAAGGTTGAAGTTGCAAAACTAATACAAGCGACTAAAGTTTGTTAAAGAATATAGTCATTAAAAAGAACATGCAATAGACTTGTTCTATCTTCGTTTTAGGCAGAAGTAACAATTCATTATAATAAATTACATGCTGATCAAAAACAAGGAAAGACACTTGATATAGGTTAGTCACTATATACAAACAGTCTAAATATAGTGAATAAGTGTTGCTTTTTTTAATTTTCTTAGTGTTAAAGAAAATGAAACACCGCGTGGTTGAAACTATGAGCTCGACGACGGCTGATGCTTTAGGTCTTAGTCGAGCAATCTTATGCAATGGTAAAGCGTTATATGTTTTATTCTAGTTCGAGTAAAATATATATCTGATTTCTTCTTTAGATGGTTTAATTAAAAAATTAGATGAATTAGAGCGTATGATTGTTTATTTATCTTTTTTTTCAACAAATCCACAATTTAATAAACATTCTAGGGACAGCTGATTTATATCGGGGTCTAATTGATCACACACACGGAGTATTAAAAGCTATATTTGAATTAGCTCATACACATCGAAATTTTGGTAATGCCTTCGCTAATATTGGTGCACGAGAACCGCAACTAAAAGCAAGTGAAGCGTTCACAAAATTTGGCGAAGCACATAGACAAATAGATCGATATGCCATTACATTATTAAGAACAGTGAAACCGGTATATTTATTTTTTTAGTACTACTTTTTTAACGACTAATTGTGTAGATTCTTTTTTCGTTTAGATGATCACAGACTTAAATACGTATTTGAGTAAAGCTATTCCTGACACACGTTTAACAATTCAGAAATATGCTGATGCTAAATTTGAATATCTTGTAAGTTCTGTGGAAAATTTCATATTTGCACATAAGTATATTTCTATTTTGTTTAGTCGTATTGTTTGAAAGTGAAAGAAATGGACGATGAAGAATATAGTTTTGCAGCATTACAAGAACCATTGTATCGTGTTGAAACAGGAAATTATGAATATAGGTGAGAAAAAGATCAATTTTTCTAGTTGTTAATGTACTGTTAAGGTAAGGGACCCTTTTCAAATTTTGACGTATGAACAAGATCTGTCCTATTTGAAACAATATTCCGAAAACCTAGTTTCACTCGAAAGTTGAAGCTTTCCCTTTCATTTTCAAACGCTCATTTATAATAGACTGCCTCGAATGAGCATACTTGAGCAGAACATGTCATTCACTTTTAAACATGCGTGAGATCAAAACGAACAAAGAAAAAGAATATTAACAAGAAATATCTAGTGCATAAGATGAATTTTTCCATTTCCTTTTTTTAGTCGAGCATAAAAATAATATGTTGATGATCAATGGACCTAGGACTGAGGAACGTTGGTTAACCATTTGATCAGTGGTGCTGAACAGAACGTGCACACTTGTGTCATACTCAGAATTTTTCCTGCCACCCATGAACATTTGTGCCGAACAAATGCCAATGAAATTATTTATTGACACATGTGCGCACCCATACTAAATAACTCTTCTCTAGGCACTGGTGTACACCAGTAGTAGCATACTAAACTTTTCTTAAGGTTATCTATCCCTCATAAGCTATAGTCGAATTATAGTACTCCACAAAAGTAGCGGGCCTCCTGTGACTCCAGAACCATGATAGCTAGGGACTTCTGATTTTGTGTAGTCATAGCTGTTACCGAATGCTGATCACCCACCAAGTATGGGACTAAACTCACAACAAATACTCTTCGACGACTGTAGACTATCCAATCAAAGTATGAAGGTTAACTATTTTGTGGTTCTGGAAATTCATTGAGAACGAACACTCACGATTGAAAGCGAGCGTAAGGAACTAAGGATCGCTCTTTCTACTATAGCATCTGCATTCAATGCGCATCATAATTATGAAAAAATAATTATAGAAACCTATGGTTACGAAAAAAGCGTAGGTGAAACTTTTGTCAGAAAGATTACACACTCACCATTAACCTAGAAAGAAAATTTTGAATGAAATGTCTTGGGTCGAAAACCAAATGTTAAGTATGCTATTTTACTCAGTTTTGTTTACTGATCTCAAATATGTTATTAGTTTTGCTTTAAAGAGAAATGAAAAGGATGAGATAAGCGAAATGACGAAGGTCAGAGGTGAGTGTATAATCTTTCTGACAAAAGTTTCACCTACGCTTTTCGTAACCATAGGTTTCTATGATTATTTTTTCATAATTATAATGCGCATTGAATGCAGATTCTATAGTAGAAAGAGCGACCCCTAGTTCCTCATCCTCGCTCGTCTGCGTATGTTTTCTAAAATAGCTGTATTTCACTGACTACTAACAGCCAACTCACAAAATTTTATATCGTGGATACAGTAGAATCGTGGCTGCATTTTAGTAAAAAGAAAAGGTTTTCACCTGTCTTAGGTCAGGGGCTATTGATATTTTACGAAAAAGACATAAATCGCTTATATCTTACGGACCATCTAGTAAAAGAGGCTCATACTTGGTGGGTGATCAACATTCGGTAAGAGCTATGACTACATAAAATTAGAAGTCCCCAGCTATCATGGTTCTGGAGTTACAAGGGACCCGCTACTTTTGCGGAGTACTGTAATTGCAGTAAAAGAATTTGTTGACTTAGCTGAATTTTAATTTAGTTTTTTTTAAAATGAATACACGAACCTATCTGAGATATTCTCTTCTATTTTATATTTAGATTGATATTACGTTGTCGACAAATGGCACGAGAACGTTTTTCTAAAATGCGTGCCGATGTTTTAGTTAAACTCGAATTACTTGATCAAAAACATGGTGAGTAAAAGACAGTTAAAGTATAAGAAGTAGAGAAGTATTACGAATAGGAAAATGGTTAGGGAACAACAAAACCGCTGATACGCTGAGTGTTAATCAGCGTAATAAACTCGAGTGCCTTTATCTTTTAAAATTGACAGGTGAAAAGACTACCAATAGACTACTAAAAAAGAATACTGGCATCTGTCGGTAGACATATTTAGTAATGTAAAAATTCTAGACAATTATTGTTATATCTCGTTCTATTCAACCGCCATCGTTTCTTGTTAGTTTAGTTTTTTAAACTTAGATCTTATTTATTATTTATCTAAATGTTCGTGTGTTTCTTTCTATTTGTTTTTATGCATTTCTCACGATGTTAAACAGGATCATGTAGGATATGATATCTCCTCACTCCACTATCACTATGATTTTCTTTAATGTAATTTTTTGAATTCCTTATTTCAGCAAGCTCTCAATCATGTTGACCGAAGTCAAGAGTGTTATAACCACATTTAATTTTTAAATGTGTTTTGTTATTAAAATTTTTACTGTCAGTGCGGCTGTAACTCCCATAACCTAGTTCAACATAATTAAAAGTTTATTAAAATCAATATAATAAAGTTAATTGAATCATCTAGTTTAGCGATAATGATATATTAAAACCTCACTTACTTGTTTGCGTGTGCCTTTATAGAAGTTATAATATACCTTTTTTTCTCTCTTTTGATCAAGCTGATTAGAGTTTTTATTATTATTTTAGTTCAAGATATTGTCTTTCAGTTACATCGATTTATAACAGCATTAGATAAGTATCATAAAGATTGTTATGAAACAATGAAAGAAGCAGACATATTTCCAATTGAAGTTGATCTAACATTACCAACGTCAAAACATTTAACAAATAATGATGAAGAGGAGGAAGATGAGTATGTAGGCGATGAACTCGAAAATGATTATGAACTAAATCAAACACAAGATACTAAAGATGCTGATCTATTAAACATCGATTAATGTTTTATCTGGATGAACTATGAGTGCAATAAGAATCAGACACGCTCAACTTTTGAAAAATATTGTTAATGCAAAACCATATGTTTTCCACACATGATAAGAAACAACGATTTTGGCGTCTACTAGACGACATTCATTTTGATCTGTTTTGTTTTCACACTTATATGAATCTCTATTTTGTTCATGTCATCTTTTGAAGTTTTAGTTTTTTAAGGGCATTGTACAGTGACTAATTTATTTATTTTTTCTAATGATTGTTTATTAAAGTACACATATTTTCTTCCATTCCAAAAATGTTATGTTTTCTTTTCGTCTCTTTTTCTGATTAAGTATTTGTTAGTTGATAGAAATCTCGTAACTGGATCTGTATGAATATTTCTACTTTATTTGTTTACATTTGATGTCTTTTCTTTTAGCTTTTTGATGTTATCAATGGTAAGATGTATTATTGAATAATTAATATAACATGTTCTGTTGAACGCAATAATTTTGAATACCAAATCTATACAATACATACCTATGCTCCTGAATTATTCATTTTACTTATAAAGTTCCGTGTACTATCACAGATTTAAGGACTTTATTAAATTAGATAAAGAAAAATGCTGTACATTATTGCGTGCATGAATAAAAAAAGATGTATTATTTTATGCGCTATTCAAGTTCTGGTGTAACACATCATTTTAAACAAGTGGATATGAGCTCATCGTAGCAATACCACATTGATTTTTCTTATTACGACTCATCCAGATGTAACCTTCATTACCCCACGATTCACCCCATGAATTTTTGACAATGTAATAATCTTGTTTGCCTTTTGTATCATAACCAACAGCCAACACTCCATGATCTAATTCTGTTGAACTGCATTCTGGTTCATTATACACACCTGAACTGTAAAATTGGAATGAACTTTGACTAGCATCTATAGCTACCGAGATAGGTCCAACGGTTGCAATAGCTGCTTGTAAATCTGTTTCACTTCCACTTTTGATGTCCGTGTATCCTTTAAATAAAATAATAATTTTTATTGATGTCATTTGCAAAAAACTAAATTCTTACCGGTATCATTGGCACCAACGTTTTGTGGATTGAATCGACATTTGCCATCACGTGCTTCATATGGATATGTTTTTTCAGTATCAATTCCCTTGTTGGCTTTGATGTATTGAAAAGCTTGATCCATTAAACCGCCATCACAACCCATATTACCAAATTTACTACTGCAATCAACGAGATTTTGTTCAGAAAGGGAAACGAGTGCCGAATATTTTTTGAAATGTTGACCTTCTAAGCTACCAGTAGCACTGAATGCCCAGCATGATCCTAGAAAAGAAGGTTCCTCCTTTCGAAATGAGTAGCTAATTTCTATAATATGGCTCCTTACCGCATTGACCTTGATCTTTAACCTCTGTAACATAACCTTGTTTGCGCCAATCTGAAATATAATTCGTAATGTATTTCGTGCTTGATACCGGTGAGTGTTGTTAAGCTTACCAACTGCTGCTGGAATCTCAACGTTTGATAGTGGAATAAATGTATGATGATCAACTTCGCTACCAACTGGACGACGAGAGGTTTTTAAACCATTCATTTGTTTAACAAATTCATGATGTGTCTAAAATGTGTATATGGTATCAGACTAAAAATGGAAAGTAGTTATTCAATTAGACTTACCAGATCACCATATCTGTTCATTTTCATTGTGTATGTATGAACCCCGAGATCAGCTTCTAAGTTATGTGTTCGAATTTTGGCAACATTTGCTTCCCAAGTTGCTCGTCTATATGTTTGAACAAAATATATGATATTTCTTTCATAATCGCTTTTTAACATGGTCAAATACCTACCGATTTTGTTCTTCTGACGTAGAATATTCTTTACTATGAACATGTTTAAATAGTTTCCACGAATCTTCTAACGATGAATCGAATGTTGATGCTGAATAAACAGCAACGAACATTAAACACAATGCAATAATTACTTTCATTGTTCTTGGTGTAAAGGGTTTATGTGTGAATGTACGTTAGTAGCAGCAATGGCTATTGAACTTTTCCAGTAGTTCTTCATATACGTATATATATATGATACATTTTTCACCTTGTCATTGTTTGAATTATGATAGCGGGTTACTGAGTACTCTGACCCATGTCAAACAAAAGATGTTGGATATCGTGATGAAAGAACGTGGAAGAATGAAGTGGAACATGAGACAAATCTTTGTCAAAGGTGACGTCTTTATACTTGTAATAAAAATGATCACGTAAGAAATGTCATTCGTACTGTTTGTTTTAGGTGATCTACAGAAAGGATCATTATCATGTTTAAACAACTTTCGTAAGAGAATTGCCCAGAAAGAATAAGAATTCGGAGGATATGTTTAGCAAAGCTGAAGAAAAACTGAATTTTGACTTCAACGGAAATTTGCTTAGCTACACTATTACTTAAAAAGCCTATCTTAATGAGAAAGAAAATATTTTGAGCTGAAATCTCAGAGATCCCTTCTCCATTTGTTTTGCTACACTGATCTTTTTTGTAAAATTAATGTGTTATCCATGGTGAAATTTTAGTAGCATTCACATTGTGAAACGAACGGTCAACATCGGGCGGACATGTGTGAAAAAAATTGAGATCTGTGTGCATGCGTGCGATGATCACGAAACTTTTCCTCTTCATGATTTTTACGCGTACTGGACACGAGTGAAAGCCACAAAATGGTTTGACATACCTAAGAAGTCATTTCTGCTTGTGAACCCCTTGAATGATGGAAAGCTCATGCGTAATGGTGTGTTTGATGCCGCAAATGCATGGCCAGAGCGCATTGTAATTTCGGTAAAAATTTTTCCAAAATATGTATGCTTTGCTCTATGCAGCGAATGAAAAAAAAATTTTTCCTGATGCTGATTCGAATATCGCATTTATTTTAAGTGAGAAATGTTTCTTGAGTGAAAAAAAACACATTTTGCCTGTAAAAATCGAAGCTTTTGGAAACGGTATGTTGAAGTATGGAAAAGGTTGTGCTATTTTGCATTAACCTATGTAAATTGACGAGCTTTTTCAAACAACGAAAATTCAGAGTAAAAATTTTAAGCAATGCTAAATTAAGAATTTCTGAAAATTTAGCGGTTTTTATGAGTTTATATACTGAACATATCATATTTTTGATGTCTTCTTGATTCGTCCCTTATTGACTTCGTAAATTAAACAACGTCAAAGGCGACATCAATTAAGTGAGAGTGAACAATTAGGCACGAATTTAGACTAAATCTATATACATTTTTGTTAAAGTTTTATATCATGCCAGATAAGAATGAAGCCTAAAAAACCATTATATACTTCAGGCTAAAGTATATAATATAATAATAACCTCGTCGTTTTCGAATGCTGTGTAAATGACACTTGAAAAACAGTTGCTCTTTCTCACTTCTTACTGCAGCAATAGATATAGTTAATATGGAATACATTAGCATATGCTCATGCAAAGTGGCCTTCGTCCCATATATGTGAATGACTGATCAATCCTCACATTCGAATTTTTGTTTTTCTGCTTAGTTTTCGGCGTTCTTATGAAGAAAAATTTCATTGCTTAGTGATGGTGTATAAGTTCGTCTTTCCGTTGCCGTTTATTCTTAAGCAGTATATCCGCCACTACCCCCAATCACCTCTTTATTACAGCAGTTCTATCAGCAATGGGAGAAAGACAGCTTTCTGCACCTCTTCAGCAAGATTTGATTCTCTATATATAAGGCATTACTTGGATAACGATAGTGTCTATCTAATTATTAAAAATACAGTTAAAGCGTCATATGTGAATTTGCTTATACTTAGAAATTAAACTAAATTATATTCTAGCAATGTTAACAATGACAGCGTATCTTTTGACATTGTAGCTAATGTGGTCTCATAAGATATCAACCATATGAGGAAACACATTTGAATACGTACCCAGGTCGGGATTTCGGGTATATGTAATTAATTAAACTTCACCGAATATCGCCTAATCCGCCGTTTTTTCGCTGGCAAACAACAATCGTTTCTCCCATTATTTCACCATATTACGGGCTTATAGAAAACAGCCATCGACGACCTGTTTTCGCCGTTTTCTCGGACCTGGATACGAGATTCCACTGAATTTGCTCCTAAAAATGATAGATCTTACATAGAGTTCAAACATACTTGAAAATAAAATGCACGAGTCCAAATCAAGGCCAAGTTCATCCGCAAATATTTCAAGGCCTGCTCACCTCTCAGTGCCTCACAGACAAACAAATATGACAAGAATTTAGCCCATACAAAATATAAGTCCTAGTTAACGGGAGAAGGTGTATGAACAGCTCTCTTATAAACTATTTCATGTGGTGAAACAACGTTTTTTCGGAAAAAAGCTCATTACTTTTTTTGAACGAACCTAAATCAAGCAAATAAAATCTTTTGAAATGGTTGCTTGGTGCTACGGAAAGTAAGTTGCTCTATATTCCTTTGAGTATTTTCTTGAACAGTTAATGAAACATGACAGTCATTGCCAGTCCAGTTACTTTTGTCGCCACTGTAGTACGCTATATGAACCTGCTCCTGATGTCGTTACTTCGTAGCATTCGTAGCTGGGTGTATAGACCGAAAGAAAGGGCTGACTGCATTAGTATATCGTGTTTTTCCATTGATCGTTTAGAGAATACCATTGAGTTTTGATGGATTTCGAATGCATAACGAAGTAGCTCATCTCAATTTAGGAGAGCGTGCATGCAAGTAACAACACGAGTGATATGCTCGTTTGTATCCTCTGTGCGACTGAATACTTGGTTTATAGTAGAGCAGCTAAAACTGCATCATAAGCTTGTCAAGGGCGCAGCGCAGATACCAGGGGATCGTATTACAGAAAAAACTTAAGTCATAGATTTGATCATATAGCCGTGATTTAAATCTAAGTTTAAGACCGACTTAAACCGTATTACGGAAAGACTTAAATTGGTGATTTGTTTACTTCTTGAAAGTCGTCGACAATAGTGACAAACCTGGGAGAAAAACTCGCAAAATAACGAAATATTCATTCGCGAAACCTCCTTGAAAAGTTTTGTCGAATCGTATCGTTAAATGCCTCAGCTATTCGAAAAAAGCGTCAATGACTGAAGTTTTCCTTCTTAATTTTAAGACCACACTTCCCATGACTTAAGTTTTTTTTTGTAATACAGATTGAATCTAAGATGAGGACTCAACTGTGACTTAAGCCTCTGTTTAGGCTTAATCCTGACTCAAGACTTTTCGTAATACGACCCCCAAGGTCAAGAAGTTTCAATCCCAACAGTTTTCGAAGCCTAAAGATTTTGATTTTATTTTGTATACAACATGCAACACCCGCATGTTAAGTCGTTTACGTTTTTCTCACAGCCGATACGTAGTCACATCACCTGATGCAATTCAAAACAAATGGGGTATTCATCATTCCACTTGAAATTAGAAAGTAATCCCCAGCTTTGCGAAGTTTTTTCAAGGCATTTTCAGAGTCTGCAGGCCATTCCAGTATTTGTTTTAGCCGAACAGTAATTAGAGGACCTAAAATTGTATCAGAAATCCTTTTGTTACAACAGTACTACAACTATTTGTAGAATTCAAAGTCTTGTCATAGCAAAGAGTTTTTTGAAAAATATTGATATCTCAAAAACGGCATCTGGTCAGAGAACTCCGAATGTATATTTCAAAAGCTCTTAGCATCAATTATAATATGAACTAGGAAAAATTCTGTAAAAATAAGGGTTACTTTTTAAGTAAATCCGTTTTCACGGGCTCTTCTTCTAATGCTTTATGTCGTCAGACCACATAGCGTTCAGTTATGCCACAATCAAATCTTGGTCAGACATCTACTGAAAATGCTTTACGAGTTACTGTGTTACTACGTTGGTTGCTTTAGTGGCAAGTGACTGTGGACTTTCAAGGATAGAAGAAATTATAAATAGAAGAATCCTGCTTGTTTTATCTATTTTTTCGCGTCCGAAATATGTTAGTCTACAATCTCTATTTGTTCTATTTTAGATATTGCAATGGTGAAAAAACAAAAAGTGAAAAATAAAAATCAACCAGCAAAATCATTTCGCTTTTTAACGTTGAATGAACGATTAAATTCGATCAATATCAATGTTGTCCATCGTATCAAATATGACTCGGATCAACTGCAACAACCACAAACTGATACAACTGTTGCTATTATTCATTCATCTTATTTTTATGATTCATTACAACATTGGTATGGTTTAAACTATTCCGAGTCATTTACATCTCTCTATCAAGAATTAGTGCCATTAGCAATATCATTAGAACAAATTGTTTATCATCAAGATAAAATTGTCAACATCTTACTTCGTTATTTAAACGAACATAATATTCTAACAGTTCAGACTTTACTAGATTTAATTGTCCAATTAGCTAGAGATTTACAACAGGTAATATCTATAATAATTTTTATATAGTAAAATGTACATGATCTGCTCTTTATGTTATAGGATTTTTATGTCTATTACAAAGCAAAATTATTCTCAGAAATCGTTCAACTATTAAATGTGAAATATGCCGATACAAATAGTTTGGAAATAAATACCGTTATTTTAGAATATGTATTTCAATGTTTAACATATTTATTCAAGTATTTGTGGCGTACTATGCTTAAAGATATGCGAGATGTTTATGAATTGTATTCAAAATATTTATTTTTATCATCAGCAAATACAAATCAACAATATATTCGAACATTTGCAGCTGAATCATTTGCATTTTTATTAAGAAAAATAGAAAACTTTCAACCATTTATCGATTATTTGTTTGATCAAAGATTAGTTGGTATCAACAAAGATGAGAATCAAAGGTATGTCACTAAAACAAAGGAGTAAAGTAGTAAAATGTCACTTAGAACATTTAGTTTATTGCTGAAAGACTAGCCTGTACACATAGTTACAGACAATTTGATTTTCTATGCAATTATTCGTTCTTTTTAGTTTACATACTGATGATGATAATGAACTCGAATGTTTATCTCTACTTTTTTACGAAACATGCTCGAATTTACAACACACATTTCATTCATGCACCAAAACATTATTGTCTTGTCTATTGAATAAAATTGTTGAACAACGAGAAAAATCATTAATAAAATGTGAAACATGCTTTTATCGCACATTTGAGCTCTTAATTAAGCACACAAATCAAGAAAATAGCCAGTTGTTGTGGACATGTTTATTGAATGTATATCAAACAACAATTGTCAATAATAAACAAATAATTGAAATATGTCAACCATTTTATAAATGTATGAAATTACTTATTCAACATCAAAATGAGCAAATAACGTCTGAAGAAATTACATCATGTACTCAATTTTTAACAATGATTAATCCAAATATTCTATCTGAAAGTAAGTAATCTTAGATTACGATCAAAGATCTGAGCAAAATATTAATATATTTTATACAATAGAATTTCGTCTCTTTAGATGTCGATAAAGATTTTTTGATATGTCATTATTCGCTTGTTTATCAATTGATGCAGTGTACAAACAAAATGACTGATAATTATATACATCGACATGTTGTTGAAATAAACTATCGTTTTGTGCAATACACACCTGTCGAACTATTATTTGATCATACAAAACAAATATTTGAGAATGATTTAACAAATAAATATTCATCAATGAAAGAATTTCATTATCATCTATGGAATCATTTACTAGCAAATTCAATAAATGAGGAACAATTAATAAATTGGATTGTTGAATATGTGATTATGATGAGAAAGAAAAATAATCAAATTCTTTTACCAAACGATAGAAAAGATTTAGTAAGAATTAAACTGGATAATAGTTCAAAGTATTTATCAACATATATGCCAGAGAAAGGTTTAACTTTAATTGAAAATTTTAATATGCAAATATTCCATGAAACCGTGGAATTTTTTCAAGCATCATCAACACAAGTATGTGACACATGTTTATAACGACAATATACCGATATAAATAGAATATTTATTAAGAGCATCTATAATTTCTTTTACTTTGCCAAAACTCACGTATGTATCTGTCGTCTAGAGATTCTAGAATTGCTCCTCCAGTTTAAGATATTCTTAGTAGTCAACAATAGTGAACTAATAGCATCTTTGATATTAACTTTTCTATTTCAGGTTTCCAATCCATTCATTATATTCAGTCGTTTATGGCGTTCATTTATACTCTTATCATCCGTATCTCTGTCCGATAAACTATTGTCATATTTGGTTACAAAACTCAAATCGATATTATCATCTTTTATTGAGAAAATAATGTGTGACAATCAAGTTTCTGTTATAAAGCCATCTTTATTCTCATTAACTCTAATTGAAACATTACATTTTGTTTATAATAATTGTTTTTCAACATTGAACGATCTATTCATCTCTAATATTTCATTTTGGTATAAATTTATTCAATGTTCAAATTCTATTGAATCCGAACATGTTTTACATTGTGTTAATGTAGCCATGACATTGAACCAAAAAATTAAAAATGATATTTATCGTGAAAAATTTTACAATTTATTAAAAGATAATCTCTCGTCGTTTCAATCAAATATTAGACTATTAACATTAAATATTTTGGCAGCATTTGATCATCCTACAAGAATTGCAAAAATCAAAACAAAACAGGAACAACAAAATGGTATAACTGATAATGAAGAATGTGAAGAAAATGATCGAAAACGTTTAAAAACTGAACAATTATCTGTATTTGATGTGTGTTCACAAATTGAACAAATTGAATTAAGTGTACATGATTATCGTGATAAAGTTGTTCATTTGCAAAAATTAGAGACTGATTTTCTGTTCTTCACCACAAAATATGAATATGATGTACCACTAAGATATTTATTAGGTAAGCAAACACAGTATGAAATAGTAAGAGTAAATCATAGATGGGCAACTCCAACTCCAGATTTGAGCTTCTTTTTTGTGAAGTTGGAGTTGAAGTTGCATTTTTATTAGATTAGAGTTGAGTTGAGTTAAGATTTTTCAACTCCAGCTCCACAACTCCAGTTAAAAATTTACATTTCACTGCTTTCTGCAGTGATCACATTAGAGTTGATCGAAACAAGTCTCTCGTTTTTCCTTTCCCATGTTTATTTCTTTTGTATTATTCTTTTATCATCTGTTCTCCCTCTTCTGCAGAATTACCTATTCTCTGTGAATCGACGTTATAGAAGAATGATCTGAAGAAATACACAGAAAAGAAAACGAAACCTTATGTCGACGCACTGGATTATTCTTACTCACTTATCCACACCATGTGTTGTTATAACTGCTAATATCTCTGTAAAATTAGAAAATACTTCAAACGGCAACATGTAGTTCGTCTGGTTCGCTCAGAATAAATTCCTGTCAGAGATGAAACGGAGTTGGAGTTGAGTTAGAGTCGAACTTAGCCGGAGTTGCCCATCTCTGGTATAAATCTTGATCAAAACGTTTATTTCTCTCTACTTTTAATTCTTAATTTCTTTTTTGCTATTTATTCAGGTTTATTAAGTGTTAATTTTACACCCATCTGGAAATTGATCACAGAAATAATTGGTTCATATGGTGCACATGATATGATAGTAAAAATTGGTAAACAAATATTTTGGAATATTATCAATGAGAAACTCTTAAATGTTACAGAAATGATTCGTACAGAAAAAACATCATCTGTTCTTCTTATTGATAATCATGACGATCTTCTGTTAAATTTTTATATTGAACAGATTAAAATAAAGGAAAATGAATTACAATTGTATGTTACTAATGAAAAATCTATCGATTATATTCAATATAGAATTAATTTATGGAAAATAATGGAACAATTTCCGAATGAATGTGAAGCCAAAACAAAATTGCTTGTACCAATGATATTAGATTTTTTCCATCATGAATATTATGATAGAATATTAGTAGTGGTATGTAATAGTAGGACAAATTTTGAATTAGCACTAGTTCTATTCAATTTTCATACATAGTTTATTCTATTAGTACAAGAAATGTTAGAAACATTCTGTTTGATACGCTCACTTTTTATGTTGTAAAAATGACATATCCACTGTCTAAAAATTTGACTACGAGTGTTGTGTTATTTGTGACAAGACTTCAGTTTATGATAAATTTTTTTTCTCTTTTAACAGGATTTGCAATCTTCGTCAAACAAAAGTTCATTTACTACCGATCTTGCTCATACAACGATTCGCCGTTTAAATCGTCATTTATCATTAAAGACGTTAGAATCAATATTAAATGTACTCAAACATTTTCGTCATAGTGAACAATGGTATAACGGAGAATATTTGTATCAATTTTATTTACGTTTATTAATGTCATCTGATAATCGTATTCAACAATTAGCTTATGAATGTTTATTGACATGTACACGTTTAAAATGTTCAGAAATTAAATCCGATTTTCTTTTACATCATAAAGATGAATTTTTACCCATATTTGATAATGCTACAACACGTAAATGTTTTTACGATATAATTGCACGTATGACGAATGATAATCAAGAATTGAATGTATCATTAAAACATCAATATTCATTTATTCTTATTCGTATACTCTACAGTAAATTAAATCAAAAACGTTTAAGTTCAACAACACGTGGTAGACACGATTATATAGAAACAAATAGAAAATTTTTATTACAATTTTTAATTACCTATTCATCAACTAGTATTTATAGACAAGAAATGATTTATTTTCTAAAATTAATATTAGAACCATTCAAGGTAAGAAACATAATTGTTTAATGCGTACCTTCTTAAAAATGCGTGGAAGTGACGAGCCTACTTTGAGTAACTAAAGTTTTTTTTATTGAGTTAACGCATTTTTTGACTAAAAGTTTTTTTTAAGTAACTCAGTTACTTAGAAGCTAGAAAAAGCCATTTACTCAGGTGCATAAAAGACAGTTTCTCAACTTAAATTTCTTCAAAAGTTTCTGAGTGAGTCAGCATTTTTTGAGTAACTGTATCCAAACGAGGAGTGATTTGCTACCTCCCAATCGATAACGCTGGTAGAAAGAACATCTCTCATTTTGTTCACATCACGCCAGATGGTATTTTTTTTAAATGAGATAATTCTACACCACTCATTAAACTATGTTTGCATCTATAAAGATCAATGTCGTTACTTACCAACATGATGTTTTGTTTAAGGAAGAATTGTTTGAAACTGACGAGACAAAAGATTGGTATGAAACATTTCTTATCAAATTGCAAATAGATGACCAGCAACAACAACAACAACAACAACAGGAAGAAGCCTATGAATCATTTACAAAACGATTACATCATTCATTATCATTATTAAAAACATTTGTCTCAAAGTTAGGAAAATATATGGTATCTTATATTGATTATTTATTAAAATTCTATGCATTATCCATCAGATACGTTGATTATTTTTCCTCAAAACAATTATCATCACAGTCGTTACGTTTATTATTGAAAAAAATTCGTTCACTCTCCTACAATGGTTTACAAATAATTACACGTTTATTTGGTGATAATGATGAGATATATTCGACAAAAATGATTGATTCTTTATGGTTATGTTGTGTAAAACAATACGTAAAAGATTTAAAACAGGCAAAACAACGAGCTGATATTGTACATTTATTGAAATTAATTGGAGAATGGAGTTGTTCATCATATTTGAGAAAACAATTTTTATTAAATTATGAATTATATCGAATTGATGATGAGGATGAGGATGGAAAAAATGATTATTTCAATACAAAAATATCGAAAGTAGATATAGAGAGTGAGAATAATTATTCATTAATGAAGGCATGTACAAATATATTGAATGATACACATTATTCATACAAAGATAAACAGTTTGTGATTGAAATTATATGGAATTTAACACAAACGGATGAAGATGGTATGTTTGATTGAAATTTTTTTCTTGTCTGAAAACAATCTATAATCAAATGATTATCATCGTTACTTTATTCCAATCGCAGTTTTGAATTATAATCTCTTTACTGTAAAGATTTCCGGATATTTTCAAGATGATAGAAACAGATGAACTGATGTATTTTTATGTACAAACATCATTTTTTTTTTGTTTTTTTTAGTGGAAGATACCAACATTGGTTTGAAAATAATATTACCTCATATTCATTCTGTTTTAACTTATTTAACAACTGTCTCAAATTCAATGATTAATAAGAAAATATCTCGTATTAGTCTAACATTAAAAGAGTTTGATATATTAGTAGTTTTATGTTCATATGTTGATAACAATGAAGTGTGTGAACAATTATGTTCAATATTAGTACGGGTTCTAAGACAAAATATATTAAAAAAACAAAAAATTTCAAAAGACAAAAAAAATAAACAACCACAACAAATTAATGTGGCAGTATTAAAAGTTTTACAAAAATTATTTAGTTACGTTAATGAACCATTGAAATATGTCAATTTATTAGCAATACTATGGTTAAAAATAATTGCACGAGATCAACGTGCACAACTATCAAATCTATTTCAAACATTACTTAATCGTATTCAATCTCAAGAAAATCAAAAGTAATCGTTATTTGTATACCGTGATCTATCATTCTATAGTTCTGTTACTTCAGATCAATGCTTACTCATAGAATAGATAGTGCATATGCAAAAAATCCTGTCTATGGATTTTTTGAAAGAGTGAAGTCAATTGTTCACAACACAAGATATTACTATCTAATGTGTTCTGTTATACTCTTGATTAATTTGTTTCAATTTTATTTTTCTGTTTTAGTGCAACTGAAATTCGTTCAGTATGGTATCTTGAACGTTTAATTGCTTTAAATTCTTGGAACTCGAAACAAATTGAAGAACCAGATTATGAACGACGTTTAGAGAGTTATAAAGAATTGACAAATTATTTTCAAAAAACAGATTTCTCTCATTATCAACAAGAAGAGGGTGACACAAATTTATTATTATGTTTATTTTATACATGTCTTTATGAGTTAAATAATTCGAGTGAATTAGCTTTAAGAGAATGTTCATCATCAGTAATTGAACAATTTATTCGACATATGACGAAATTTCGATTAATTTTATTAGCTGAAATACGTTCAATATTGAAACATTGTTCACAAGAACTTGTACGAAATGAATATATTCGATATTTAGCATTAATTATTGAGTATGATGATAGTGACGAATTAAAAGAATTAAAACGTTTAAAAAACAACGGTAAGTCATTTTGTTATTAAATAATTGCTCATTATTGGCACAAAAAAAAGTATCGTTGAAATAAATTTTCTTACGAGGTGAAGATGTTTAGGTGAGAGCTGCTCTGGGAAAGGGAGGCGGCAGAGGTCCTATCGTTAAAAATCAATTTCTTTAGTCAAATGTTTTATTGAACATCACATTTTACATATTTCATACTTTGCTTTACTTTTAGAAAATATTGATCAAGATTTTTTTGAAAATATTCGTCATTTACAAATCCATCGTCGATTGAGAGCGTTAAAACGTTTAAAATTGTTAAATGATGACGAACAATTTTCTCAGAATACAATTTCTCATTATTTAGTACCAATCGTTTGCTCATTTATAAATGATGTATTGCGAATGAATAGTACTGATAGTGGTTATACAGTGAATGATGATGTTTATATGTGTTTAACTCATTTATGTAAACAGTTATCCTGGATAAAATATCAACAGTTATTTGTACAATATTTTCGACAATTAACATCGGCTACAAAAGTGTTGAATACTCCACAAAAGCGTTGTTTGGCAAAAACAATCAATGCAATTGTTGATGCATTCCATTTTGATCTAACAAAGAGTGAAAACTCAACCAGTGAAGGTATGTGTATGTGAAGCATCCATTAGTTCCGATTTTTTTTCCGATAAGACGAACAATCTCTAGTCTAAATTAAAAAATTTTGAAACAGTAGTAGTGAACATATAGCGAACATTTTTGATTTGCCAGACGCACATATCATTTTTTTCTTGACAAAGTTCTTTCTTTCTTGTGTTAGTGTAATTCTCCAGTGGTCAATCTATAGGAGAAGACGCAATATCAAAAAAGAATTTTCAAAAGGTAGTCTGAGGATAATTGGATTAAGCATTTTTAAGTAAAAATGTTTTTCGATTATTTGTTTTATGCATCTTTCGATACTGTTTTTCCACCCTTTTTTTACTCAACAAGTACTTGATAAACAGGGAATTAACTTAATAAACGACTTTTTGTAAAACCTATAGTAGAGGCAAACCTCATTTTCCTATACATATCGTTGACATGTGCTAGTTATCGACGAATATTTTAATATAGTTTTTAGTGAGATTCGAGTGGAATAGTTATACTAAAAGCGTTTATTTATTCATCTTTTTTCTTTATTTTAAATTGCTATTTGTTTCGTTTTCTTTAGATTTATCCATGGATCGCATATCTCGAACAATTCGTGAACGTTTATTACCAATGATTTTAACATTGTTAAGTCAAAATTCATTTTCTATCGATGGTCTATTATCCAATAGTAAAGATACTTCTAATATAGAGGAAAAACAACAACAAACTGACAATACAACTATCGATGAACAACGTCAACAAGCTGTATTAGTCACTACAACATGTTCTCTAATATCAATTAAAATTTTATCATATTTTCCATCTGTTTATATTGAACAATATTTATCTACAATTTTGTTACATCTTATACAATTATTACGTTCACGACTCTATTCTATTCGTGAACAAGCACGTGATTATTTGATAAAATGTATTCGAATATTAGGAAAACGTTATTTAAAATATATTATACAAGAAATATGTGAAAATTTAAAACGTGGTTATCAACATTTTGTATGTTTACACACTGTTCATTCAATACTTATTCATCTATCAACAACAACATCAGAACAAAATGATAATGATATTGATTCAGCCATACAATTAATTGTTCAATTATTTACAGATGATTTATTTAATGATAAAACTGAATCATCCAAAGCATCCGAACATGAAAATTCTGTTTATAAACCATCAAATGTACCTGAAGCAAAAACAAATAAAACTTATAATGCCTACGAATTAATTGGTCAAATGTTAAAATCACCAAAAGAATTGTATACATGTATTGAACCGTTGAGAAAACAATTAGAAGTTACAAATGATTCAAAACAAATAAATAAATGTGAAAAATGTTTAAAACGTTTTCAACAAGGTTTAATTACTAATTCAAATTTAGACAATGATATTTTATTTATATTTACATATACTTTACTAAAACAAACGAGTAGTAACGAACAAGATATTGACAACAGTGAGAATAAGAAGAAAGAGAAAGAGAAATTAAAAGCGGCATCAGTTACAACGAGTTGTTATTTAATACCAGCTGAACCAAAACGTGATCGACGGATACAAATGGTTAAAACAATGAAAAAAACAAATTTACATTGTTTAACAACGTGGTTGTTACAATTATTGGGTCGATTAATAAAACGTCAAAAACTAGTTGAAGAACAACAACAACAACAACAACAAAATGAGAAATTAATATCAATGTTAGATCCATTTGTTCATTATATTGAAACATGTCTCAATCAAACACAATATATTGATGTTACAGTAGCTGCACTAAGAAATTTAGCATCATTATTACAATACAAATTACCATCATTAGATAAACAACGAATTACAAACATGTACAAAAAAGTAAGTTAAAATCTAGATATCTGCTGTAATTTCTGTATATTGGATAGTCTAGAGATTCTAAACAATATAATTTGAGATATTAATTTCTATTTTCATAGGTATTTGATCTACTTAAAACATATATAATGAATACTCAACGTTCAAATGGTAGTGATATGAATGATTTATTAACGTTATGTTATAAAATTTTAAGTTATTTTGTTCAACGTTCATCTAGTGATAATATTCAGTTATCCGTCGATGAATATCAATGTCTATTTAACTATATTGAATCAGATTTATTAAATCAAAATCGTCAAACAAGTGCATTTGTTCTATTACGTTCAATAATGAAACATACTAAAGAACAAATAAATATTCACAAAGAATTACGACAACAATTAGATGATTTAATAACAACAAAAATAATGGTAAAAAATGTCTCTTATATCTTATAGTTCGAAGTTTTTGAGTTTGATTGAAGAATTAGTATTCGTCTACCTTAGGTAGACAGAGAGAGAAGGTTCTGAATCATATTATGTTCTTTTTTGTTGTTTTAGGTTATGTCAGTTCAGAATCCCTATGAACGTATTCGTACATCATGTCGTGAAATCTTTCGTATTTATCTATTCGATTATGAACCACATTCAAAACAAAAGCTAAAAACTTATTTTGATTTTTATTTACTACAAATTGATTATAAAAATGTTGATGGACGATTATCAGCCATACACGTTCTTCAATCAATTTTCAATGATTTATCTAAACAACAATTGCAGTCATATTCTACGTATTTTTTTCTACCAATTGTTTGTCATTTGTACAATGAAACAGATGTAGAATGTAAAAAATTATTGGTTAATACTATTAAAGTACTATTAATAAAATTAGAAAAACAGCAACGAAATGATCTGTTTATAAACATTGTGTTAGTTTGGACGAAGGAAACAGAAACTATTGAACATCGATGTCTGGGTAGGTGAATCACTATTCTTTGCTCATTGCTTAATAAAAGTATGTATGGATCGTTTTTAGCTAGTCAATTGATTATCCGATTTATTGAGGTTGATAAAGAGAATTTTGATCAGTATGTTAATGATATATTCGATTTTATTCAACGAGAATTTGAAATAGAAAATAATAGTATTCAAGATGATGATGATTTACAACGATTTTATGATCATTATTTCTATAATCTATTAAATATTTTGTTGAAAATTTCTATAGAATGTGAAAATGCATTGCATCTTAAACAACTAAGATCAAAATGGTTATTATTATTAAAAATTATTGATGAAAAATTTCTTTTACATCCACATTTGTGGATTCGTTTAATAACAACACAATTGTTGGGCATATTCTTTTCAGCTAGTCAGCCAACCTATATGGCCGAAAAGATTCATCGTCTTCAAGGGTATAGTTACACTATGCAGTCTGTTAACGGCTGTAAAGCTTACAGATTTATCTTACACTATATTTCTCTTTTGTAGTATATCTTCGTCAACAAAATCACAACAACTTAATACTGAACCATTATTTCTTCATTACATTCTTCTTGATAAATCTCCAATAACAAAAATACAACGTCTCTGTATATGTTCATGTTCTCAGTTAAAACCGTCTGGTATCAGTCAAGAATTAAGTGAACAAGTGACAAAAAATCTTATATATTTATCAAAAATTGCTTTACATTATGAACTTCTTATTAATGATGACAATGATAAAGAGGAAATATGTTCAATAATAGTAGCAAGATGTTGTCGTTTAGCCACATTTGAATCAACAAAACATCCAACCGAAACTAGTCGACGTTCAAGTATATTAAAATGGATGGCTGCTTTGGCATTAGAACATGGTACTCATATAATAAAATATTTGAAACAATTATTATCAATAATCGAAAGAGAAATTGAAAGAATATCGATAACGGATGATAAAACAAGTTTAAAAACATTAGCTACTGATGTATTTGATGTATTTAAAAAATATATTGGTCTTCATATAGTAACGGAAACATATGCCGAACTCGTTACAGAACGGCGAACAAAACGTTTTGAACGAAAACAAAAATCAGCTGTGATGGCTATTAATCAACCAGAAATTGTTTACAGAAAAAAGCGAAAAAAACAAACAAAACGAATTGGATTAGGAAAGAAAAAACGAACAAAACAACAGTCAGGAAAAAAACAGCAGACAATAATTAACGGACACGATAAAAACGATTTTTAGTTTTTATTGCATTGTTACTTGTTTCATTGTTATTTCTTTTTTAACAAATTGTTTTTTTTGTTATATTGTTATAAAATTCTGTTGCTTTTTTCTAAAAAAACAGTTGAATAAGAAATTTTAGTTAAAACTGGAACTGAATTAAATATCATTTCTTCGTATAACTACGCAAAAATAATCTACAGAGCAATGATCATCTAGCTTTTGAAAAATCATCCATGAGATTATTAGTTTCAAGAAAAGTTTGAATCATCTGTATTTCTTACGTAGTATCCTTACTGACGGCCTGTCTAGTGACAGAGCTTGATCTTGATAAATGCAAGATCCATCCCCACGAAACTTTTAAAAAATATTGATCAGCATTCACGAGATGTCACTCGAACATGTATCAACATGGGACTATTCGTATTATCCAAAATCTTTATCTAGGTAGATTCTGAAAAGTTCAATTAGGTTTTAATATGAAACTAACACATTATCCTAGATTTCTTAAACAGTTTGATCGAAAGATAATTTTTATATATTTTTGTATAGGCTTTTGGTTATGTCGAATTCGGTACACATATACGTGAGGATGTACTGATCTATGTGGACATATTTTGCTTTTTTTCTCACTGGTTTCTGAAAAACTCTGAAAATCTCTTTCTGCAGGCCAAAAAAATGTCATCGAAAAGGCAATTTGCAAACGATATATACTGTTTTACAAAACAACATTTTGATGAAAATCACCATGTCTGCTGGAGGAATAAGAATCACCAACAAGAAATATGTCGCTTCCGTGTACGAGAAATATCAGACGAAGTAGAAGTATCGTACAAAACGGTGTAAAAAGTCATTCGACGAAAATATCACACACGGCTCACGCTGACATCAAAGCATATTTCGACGAAACAAGAACCCACCGTACACAATGCCATTATAATACACGTTGAAAAAACGAAGAGCAATATTATCATTCAAAGACGTAGATAAGTAATACACTAATCGAAACTTTCTAACTTATATAGACGATTATTATATTCTGACATTGATGTGGAATTAGTCATTTTAAGCTTCTTTTTTTCTTGAATTTGTTGTCTTCGTACGTCTTCTAGTTTGAATTCTTGTTAAAAATATCGTTGTAACCATTTATAAATATTTGCAACATATCACATGTATTGACAACGTTATTCTAATACACAGCTCACAAGCCTGCATTGATATATAATGCTTCGTAGCCCTTCTGATATTAAGCTGATGACCTCTCTTATGCTTGAACTAAGGTGAGATTTTCGTCTAGTGACTAATGGAAATATCTCTTTTTTGTTTCGGTGATGTTACACTCAAGGATATTCGAACAAATGTAACAATGATCAAATCAAATGTAAAAAAATACTATGTGGTTTGTCTAATTTGTTTAACACAAAATTTTGACTATTTAATCCTGTTTTTTCTTGTACATTTTATCTTTTCGTTTACTTGTATATAAGTTCAGCTTAACAGGTGTATCTTCATGTTTAACAACATCGGTGTTATCTCTTCTTTTTTTAATTTCCGTCGTCCACTATAGAAAGTTCTTTTGATATTTTTTTCTCAAACTTTCTTTAATTCACATGATTAGGACATTGCTTACTAATAAAAGAAAATATTAATTTAAAATATGATTTTATAGTATATGTTAAAACTAGGTGCTAGAGCGAGATTCTTTGAGTTTTGTGGAATGAACATATTAAATATCTCATGTGGCTTTATATGTGATTATGAAGTTGTATGTTTCTACTTGATTTTTGACAGAATATAATGAGGTGATACTTCGATTTGTTGTATTTTTGAAAATAAAAATTTACGATTTAAAAAACAATAATTCGTTCTTCAAAAGAAAGACTTGGTATTGAAAGTTGCTGATAGTTTTGATCTTTTTTCCTTGGTAACTGAATAGTCTTCTACGAGGTATACTTCGACCCTTCGTTACTTCGAATGTTTTTCTTTTTACAGAAAATATTTACCATTATGGAACTTTTGCGGTCGCAAAGAAAATAAGATAAAAATATACTCTTCTCAAGATCAAAATTGTTCTTGAGTATTAATATTTATTAATAGTTTACTTTTGTCATGTACTTTTCCATAATAAACTCTAAATATTTAAATTCAATCAATGTAGAAAGAAAATAACAAAATCACAACTTTTACATATAATGTTATATGGGTATATTCCGTCTCCTAAATCAACTAAGATTGCAAACATAATTTATCGAGCGTTCAATTAACTAACATGAATCTTTGTCCTGCATATTTTTGCAGAATGCTTATCAATGCACGAAACATCGTACATAATAAATACGAACAAAATAACTATATGAAACTTTGATCAACATTACAATTAGCTTTTCCTCAAACTGTAGGATCTATCTCAAACAAGAGCTCATAATTTTCTTATCAAGAAAATGTTCTTTGAATAAATTGAAAATGCCGTCAATGGGTTGAGAGCATGACCAACACATTCATTCTTTTGATGAAAACAGAGTTGGACGTTACACATTCTTCTCGACAATCATATGTAGTTAAGAGCTCATATTACGGCACATATTCTAACATTTCTTGCTCTCTTCCTAAAAAAGCTTCATCTGATGTCTTCTTCATAGCTTACATTCGAAACAAGATAAAAGCTACACTATACCAGCTAAAACTGCACGAAACTTAATGAAATAATCTTAACCTTCATTCTCTTTTCACTTAATTCGAGATGTTGCCATATAATTCTTGTGTAACAGGAACTGTTCTTACTCACATTCTTACGTAGTAAAAAAACTTAGACCAGTTCTGGTAAAAAATTTGTAGGTACTATTCATTTCAAAGTAGAAAAAACATGGGTAATTTTTGCATAACTTTTGAAGGAAAAAAGTTAAAGATTTGCAGTTTTCAGTAAGTGGTAAAGAAGAACTAAAGACCTCTTTTTTCAAAAGCAAAAATGGCTAAAAAAGTCATTTTTCGAACTAAGATTTTGAGATGATATTTGAAAAATCAATCTGGTGCTCTACAACTTAACTGGCAGTATAGTATGTATATCTTTACATGAGCAGATAGTCCAAAGTCTCCGAATAATGAGAATCAAGCGAGATCTTAATTTTCAGCGGTTCGAACGTATTATTAGATTTCCAAAGTTCCAGAACTAACACTCGGTGAATTGTGATATACATTACGTCTTGTGTCAATGTTCATTAATAAATATGGTTCTAATCTATATTGGTATTATTTTCTTTATAATGTACTAAGTAA